TTGTTGGAGGATTGGTGGGACATGGCAGCCCTGGAAAAGAATTAACTACTGATTTAATTCTTTTCCAAACCAACTTGGGATTTAAGTCTTTTCCAAAACAACCTGTACACAAAATCTATTCCACCATGGTGCCCACAAAAGAATCAACTCAGGATTTAATTCTTTTTGAAGGGACCCAAATAGCAATAAAGTACCACATTGGGTAGGGGGCACATAAAAAGAATTAAATCCTGAGTTGATTCTTCTACAATAGGGATGGTACCAAGAATTAACTTGGGAGTTAATACTTCTCAGGGGGTAGCTGATAGGTACCAAAAGATAAAGAATTAACCCAGGAGTTGAGAATATTCAACTCGGGTATTCACTCCTTTTCGGGCTTCTCCTAAAACTACCATCCACTCAAGCATGTCTGGCGACACCTAGAGACTGATAGAGATTGGAATCAACACCAATCCCCATCCGTGTCTCTATGAAACAAATCACCTCAACTATAATAAGGCCTCATAGCCTCCAAATCACAAACTGGAATTGGATTACTGTAACTATGATTTATATCACTCATATCACCGACATCCAGAAGGTGGTGACGGTGTCAGACCGCCAGACCGCCAAGCGGTCGTCACGTCACACCTGATCGCCGCTAGGCTCCTGTTGCAGCTTTTCGATTTGCACTTCCAAATGCCATCGGCCACACGCTTCACGTTCTCCTCAGGGATGCCAGGGAGAGGGCACTCCGAATAGCGATGGGGGGCGAGGGCAATCCATAGATAAATGTGGCTCCAAACTCAAAGAGATATCAAAGAGGATACTGGTCTTCAGGACATGCCATGCGACAACTGCTTCGCGGCCCACCACAGAGCCTTGCCGCAGAAGCTACACATGTATCGGGCACGCTGCTGAATCTCGTAGCGCTTGATGATCTTCCTTGCGATATGTTTCGAGACATTTGATACCGGACCTCTCCCCAGAATCTTCAGTTTTCACGAACACACTTCTGAGTCAAATATAAATTGCAAAGTCAGATTCGCCTCCGGATGCCTTTGTGCAAAAATTGTAGATGAACTCTTTAGTGAACTCTTTGGATTGCTTGCATGGAGGTCAGTCTCCCGCTATTCGGATTACTCAAAAGATCTCAAAAGAACTGAGATCCCACAAAGAACACAAAAGGTCACATGGAGAAGCCGTGAGGGAGATCAGAAACCCATCATCTCTCTATCATCGCTCTATCTCCAGCATTGTTTTCCCATCATGAGACGTGACCCCCATGGACATTCCAAGGATCTGCCCCATCATCTCATCTCATCACTCAAACGAGAGTTATATACTAGTAGCTTCTTGCTCCTAGTAGTAAGGCGAGGAGCCCCCAGTGGCGTCCTTGCTCCTAGTAGCGAGGCCAGGAGCCCCTAATAGCTTCTTGTTAGCGAGTCCGACGAGCGAGTCCCCGGACCTCAGGGAGGCACCGTAACGAGTGCCATATTTGCCCGTGATCCCGACCTGGCCGTCGAAAGAGGCGATGACGGACCAGCATAACGGAAGGAGCCGCGTGACGACGACCCACAATAGTGATAACACCTTCAAACGACTTAGTAGTTACAAAAAGCTAGTAGAAACAAGTGCCACGCTAGTAGTAACAGGTGCCTTACTAGTAGTAACAAGAAGCTAGTAGAAACAAGTGCCACGCTATTAGGAACAGGTGCCTTACTAGTAGTTACAAGAAGCTTAATCACCTGCTCCGGCTCTCGGCCCTCGGGTGAAGATAGAGTCAAACCTTTAAAACATGGACAATGATGCATGCCCACCAAAGACCAAAGAGTTTCTACTCACATCTGAACATCTCAAAACCCGAAGAGGAGTTGGATATTCAAACGAAAAATTGATAAGATGGCAAAGGGCCCGATGATAAACCTCGGGGACTGGGTTGGAAACTGGCTTTTCATGAGTGAAAGAGCATGTCGAAGCCTGTGTTGTGGGCTACTGCGGTTGGCAAAAGTGGAAATGTTAGAAAATCACAAAGCCGTACCCAGCGTGCTTCACCTTAACATAGCACTCTGTAGCGAATCTAGCAAACCTTCACCCATGACATTTTCATGACTCTCTGGCCTTCTTGGTACGCTTCGCCATTTGCTTGGACTGAGTTGCAGTTGGTGCTTTTGAGCCGCTGAGAGGTACAAGCCAATCGCTCATGTACAAGGCACATTCCGACCGTGTTAAGTGGACTTATTACTTGTTCAATTGTTCAAGTGAATGCAAAAGCCGCACTGAAAAGTGCCACAAATCGCAAGTCTGCTGGCATTCTGAGCAGTTTCAACCACGAAAGACTCTTTTTCTAGCTCAAGCACTGCCACCTTCTCAAGGTCAATCCTCAACACCACCTCAGGGAGACGAATTCTTCGAAACAATTGGAAAAACGTTTGAAGCAAACATGTCACAAACTGTTCAAAAGCAAAGTTGAACAAAAACACGCTAATAATGATAGGTTTTAAAAGGGCGTTCCATGCGTCTGACAGTAGTTGAATTCCAATTGAGTTCCTACCGCGACTTTCTGGTTATTGATGATAAAGTTTTTCTTGACAGCAAGTTCACCAAGTTACTAAGCTGGAATTTTGCTGGTATGAGCAATTTGTAAACCAGCAATTTGCAAAGTGTTGCATGCTCGAATGACACCGAATTCCGACCCTGCAGCTGCTTCCTCAGGCGCGCGATGGTCGCGCGCACAGTGGCAGCTGGGCCCGTGCTCAGGGTCCAGCAGCCACCAGCCATGGTCCTTGTGCCACCGAACAACGCCAACAACATTGTTGCAATGACTTCTATATAATTGAACAAAATGATTCGCGTGGACATGATGGCAGCTGCCCTTCGAGTGTAGCCTGCAGGATACTCTAGTATGTATTATGAAATATGATGAAATATGCAACTAGCAAAACCTAGACACTTAACATACTGCATATATCATATATATACTTCCAAATACCCACTGACCGTGGCACATGTAACCTTCCATCTGTGGCTCACAAGCATGCTGGGCTCCTGTTGCAAGTCTTGGACTTGCATTTCCAGATGCCGCCAGCCACTCGCTTCACGTTCTCCTATAGCAATGGACTGTTGTACACCCTGGTGGGACCACTGGAACTGGTGCACTGAAGGCTAGTACCGTATACATATATATACATATGTAATGTTCAGTATGTTAATTGTTTCAGGTACAAGTAAGATCTCAGTGCTGGAGCGACTTTGAGGGTCGGGTTCGTTGGAACACCTGTTCCGACATCAAATCTGTCTCCTTGCCGCAGAAGCTGCACATGTAGCGGGCACGCTGCTGGATCTCGTAGCGCTTGATGATCTTCCTCATGCCCATCAGAACTCTAGTAAGAAGTTCATCGCTACTAGTAACAAGGGCATCGCTATTAGCAACGAGAAGCTACTAGTAGCAAAGGGCGCGCTACTGGGAGCAAGGACGCTGCTAGGGGCTCCTGGCCTTACTACTAGGAGCAAGAAGCTACTAGTAGCGAAGGGCATCGCTACTAGGAGCAAGGACGCTGCTAGGGGCTCCTGGCCTTACTACTAGGAGCAAGAAGCTACTAGTAGCAAAGGGCGTCGCTGCTAGGAGCAAGGACGCTACTAGGGGCTCCTGGCCTGACTACTAGGAGCAAGAAGCTACTAGTAGCAAAGGGCATCGCTACTAGGAGCAAGGACGCGACTAGGGGCTCCTGGCCTTACTACTGCATCGCTACTAGTAACAAGGGCATGGCTATTAGCAACAAGAAGCTACTAGTAGCAAAGGGCATCGCTACTAGGAGCAAGGACGCTACTAGGGGCTCCTGGCCTTACTACTGCATCGCTGCTAGTATCAAGGGCATCGCTATTAGCAACAAGAAGCTACTAGTAGCAAAGGGCA